CCCCCCCCCCTCCCCCTTAGCCCCTACCATGCCCAAACACTAAGAAACATCATTTCCACAGCTGTTTCCGGGCGTTCAGGTCATGCGCAGGATGGCCCTGCCTTCCGTCTTTTTGAAAACATAACCACTGGGCTGCTGGCAACCAGTTGCTGGTCCACAGACCGGCCGGCACTGCTGGTCAGCTGTGGATACGTCACCGCCACAAGCTCCTATGCAACTCTGGTTGCAACTATGCTATCTATCACAACATCCAATACAGCAATCGCCCAAAGAACAGGCATCAGCCCGTTCTCCACTGAATGTCAACCTGTACAGAATTCATGGCAAGATATGCTACATTTTCTACACATAAATGTCCCTTGCCTACCTAGCCGTCAATTCTGTTCAGGTACGTTCAAGCTTAAGATGCTGTGCTCGTTCCGAGCTTTCAACTGGCAGAGCAATTTCCCCCCCCTTTCTTCATCAGAATGTGTTCACAACTTCCCACTCGGGTCTTCCTACCATAAAGGGGAGAAGCGTTGTCATGGGTTCATGACGTATTTTTGACTTGGGTGTGGAATAGGAGCCGGACTGACAGATAAGGAGCCAGGGCCTTAAACCACCACTACCTCCGATCCTGATTTTGCCGAGCCTGAATTTCACTGCACACTGAGTTTTGCCGAGCCTGAATTCACTGCGCACTGAGTTTTCCCGAGCATGGCGTGGGGATGGTTCCGTTTCGATTCTCTTCTGGAAATGCAGCTTTGTCCGTGATAGCGGGGACATACATTTCACCAAGTACTAGTGTGAGTATGCCCTCAGTACAAAGTGCTGTCTGTCAGAACGTGAATCACAGTGTGCCTCGCTGGCAGGGCAAAACAAAGAAAGAAAAGTAAAACAAAAAAAAGCATGTATAGAGGTCAGATACATTCTGTGAAGTACCAGTGTTAGTATGGCCTCGGTGAGGCCGTTAGGTGAGACCGTACCCGACACTGTTGATCCTTCTTTTTTTTTTCCCCCTAATGTGTGAGAGGGACCACATGGGGCTCGGTTGGCCGACCCTCCTCGGGACCGCCTATTTTTTTTGGAGTACGATGTTTTCCCGTTTTTCCCAACACTCAGAAAGGCAGTGGTGGTTCAAGGCTCTGTTTCTTTTTTTTTCCCCCTTTCTTTTTTCAAAGGCTTAAAAAAAAAGAAAAAAAAAAAGAAAAAAAAAAAGAAAAAAAGAAAAAAGAATGTGTTCACACAACTTCACAGCTTGCAACATATTAGGCACCAATGTTTCCAATCGCTCTGCTGAAAAACACTAAGGCCGTGCCGTGAAAAGTTCATCCTCTCATACCGACAACAGTAGTGCCACCGTACCTGCTTTGTGGCCGAATGGTACAGTGCGCACAGATGCAACTGTCGATAAACAGATCAAGAGTTCAAATCGTCCTCACATCCGAGATACAACGAGGGTAGGTGTTTCCCCCTTTTGAAAAAGAAAAGAAAAGCAGTGCTGCCCATGGATAGCACCAGCACCAGCAGGTTACACCCCAGATGCCAAAGACAACGCAAGAGGGGTGTCCTCTTTTCAGCAGAGACAGTCGTGGATCTTCTATTATTCATCAAGCTAAAAGCAAATAGACAGTCACTGGAAAGCAACAGTGCCTCCAGGCTTCGACTTCTGGCCTCCTACACCTACTTTGAGGTAGACCAGATGGTGATCTACTCCCCCATGGCCCCCCATCTGGCCCCCTTTCGCACGCCCATTTGATACATGCACTAATTTCGCACCCTCCTGCACATACTGCGAGGTAGACCAAATCATGTTTCAACCCCCTCGACCCTCATATATCTTCTTAAGGCTCGCAGATGACATCATGGCTTTGTGTGACACTTCCATCTTTCCAGGGACAAACAACCTTTTACCAAAACAAAGATGAAAAGCAACCTTATGTTCTCTTGTTTATTTTGCACTGTTATTACCTGTTGATCGCATTGCGTGCTAGTACACAATTCAAGACACGGTAGCGTTGAAATTGGAAAATTTTGTGCCGGCACATTGAATTTAGTTTTCCTATATTGTCTGCTAAGGAACACTGCCCACAAATTGCCCTGAGAGTTAGGTATTCACACTACCAGTCAGTGTGACTGTGCACATCAGCAGATCACCAACACAAGCCCAGCATTATTGGTTTGTGGCATTCATTCCTGGAGCCGCAAGGCATTGCTAGTCAGTTTTGTCACTTTTCTGCGATTGCACAGGTAATTCAGAGCAACGTCAGCACATTGGAGACAGCACTGATAAAGACACGTTGCTGAAGCATTCAGATTGTGATATGTATTTCATACCAATGTTTTCATTATCTTCATTCTGAATGACACTGTTTATGGTGTGTGATACTCCATCATAAGCGATATTTCTCAGCAGAATGGAGAGGAATGTGTGTGTGGGGGGGGGTGCG